TTAGCAGACTAAGTGACAAATTACGAGTTTTAAATAATGACATGTTTTAACTTTTTCCTTTGTAAATTGAAAAATGTAATTACGTATTATGTAAAAATTGATGGGATCACATAATTTCGAACAATCGCGTGTGTGTTAAAATATTTTTTTAATCTCAATAATTTTACAAATTTTATTTTTTAGTCTTTATAATTTAAAATAGAATTTTTTATTTCATATACTTATATTTTAAAATTATTTTTAATTTATTTGTAATGTCATTTTCGTATGAGTGATGTAAATTTATTAAATCCACGTGGATAATGTATTTGATGTTTTAGACGATTATGTGTCATTTAATGATGTATTACATAATTAACAACAATTTGATTATTCATATGAATCATATTTGGTCATAGTAAATATTGACTATCTACCATTCGTACATTTTATTTTTTCCTCCTAAACTATTAAGTAACATATTATCCTCCACAAAATCAAATACATTAATGTTATGTAGATTTAATAACTTCACATCATTCACACGGAAATAACATTATAAAAAAAAATATCAACAATGACTAAAAAAAATAAAAAATGCAAATATATACTCTAAAAATGTCTATTTTGAATTATAAAGACGGTAAAGACAGTAAAATAATAAAAATTTTAAAAATATTTTAACCAATTATATATTACAAATGTATTAAATATCTATGGTTTTTCTCATTATTATTAGCAATCTTATCTCTCATTTGTAAGCATAATTTTTCTTTAATAATTATCTCAAAATTCATCTATTATTCATGTTACTTTATTTTCTCTCTTATTTTTTTAAATAAAATATATAAATAAAAAATAAGTGTCTCAACACTACTAATTAGTTACTTATTAAATTAAAACAATTATATTGTACCAATACTTCCATCAATTGAATGATATATACCTAAGCTTACATATAAAGTAAAAAAAGATAAAAAAATTAGTTAATACATAAATCAACTGGCATATATAAGATTTTTTCATCTTTAACAAGTGATCTCAAATTTAAAATATGAGTCTATAATAAAAGATATATGTGGTCTATTAAAAAAAAAGTATATTTATTTTTAATTTATTTATAAAATATAAACAAACTTGCATATAATGGTCCCCTTTATGCATAAGGTGGGAATTCCTTCTCTACTTTTTTCTGGGATTTGGCACTTGTCACTCTCGCACGGCTTTTTCTGCGTTTACCATACAAAAAAGAGAAATTATCCTTTCACAAGAATATTATGAAACCGGGGAGATCGCTTTGAGGAAAAGACAAGTATTGATACTTGCTGTGCATGTTACAAATAGATTCCATTCTTTTTTCTATACTCTCTTACAATTTAAGAGTCCCATGCTTTTTCTGTATAAGAAATTAAACAGTTTTTTTAAATTTAATTCACAATTAAAGTTGATACTACTTTATTTGCCTTATTTTACTTTTATATAATAAATTATTAATGAATTATATATATCATGTAAAATAAAAATATTATTATCATATAGTACACAATTTTTTTTATAAAAATAAATGAGTTATATCAAACTAATATTGATTCAACTCAACTTATCTCAATAATATTAATTTAATTCACAATTCGATTCAAATTTAAACTATATTGTTTTTTTTTTTCAAACTTAACTCGATACAAATTTCAATTTGTTAACAATTTTAGTTTAACTTATTAACTTGAATCACATAGACAAAAAGACAAATATTTTGAATCGTGCACATTTTAAAATTTCAATTTAATAATAATTTTTGATAAAATAATCTCTTAACTTTGTTTAGAAGACAAAACAACCTATTCTATTAGTTTTATAAAATTACAAGATATGATTCTAAAGAAATATAATTACAATCAAAACTTGTATAAATAAAAAACTATATCTTTCATAAAGTAATAGAAAATCTATTCAAATTCTTTTAATATTGTTAACTTAGAATTTAGTTTTGACAATTCTTTCAGTTGAAATTAAATAGAAAACTAATTATAAAAAATATATATATTTATATGTCGAATTGATTTATGAGTCAAAATTACTGAACTATTTCATAATTCAAGTTCGACTAATTTATTTATAAATAATTTTATATATTAAATTAATATATATTTAAATTTTTTTTTTAGAACATGTTTTATAATGTATTATTTTAAAAAATCAATTGATTAACAAAATTATTTTAATCTATATAAGAAAAAAATATTATATAATTATTTATAAAAATAACATTAATAGCATTAAGATATAGACATAGTTAATGGAACTTACACTACCTAATAAATAATGAAATCCCAAATGTTATTTTCAAGACAACCAATAAATGCTGTTACATTATTGTGGTTTAAATATGAAAGAGAAGTGCCAACAATTCAACATGTATTCGGATACAGAAAAGACACCGTAGGTGACATGAATCCTCTCATATCATGTGAAGCAATTAAAGTATTAAGTATATAAATGTCTGGATGAAACACCCTTTATTCCCAATTCCTCTAGTGAATTTATTACCGTGTCACTGCCCTAAAACATAAAATACATGCAATTTAATTGAGTTAACCATAATGGGGTAATAATTGAAAGAAAGTAAAATGTGATTGTTACTCTTTTAAAACTTGAGAGCTACCAATTATGATCTTCTTTTTTCGTTGTGGAAAGAATTAGAGAATTTTTTGAATTTAGAAAACGAGGATTAATATTTGGAGCATAAAATATCTGTTTGTTTTAACCAAACAAAAAATGTTTATTTTCCTTTTTTATTTTTTCACAAAAGTTGACCTATCACTAACTAAACCAACACAGTTAACAGAAGATAAAAGATGATTTTCAACCTAATTGCGAATTGTAATTGGATAAAAGTACCACTTTTCTCTTGCAAATTTTAACTTTCATACGATCTACCTTTTGCATTAAAATTACATTTAGTAGCTAACATATTGATTTATTGAATAAAAATTCTCACTTCCTACAACTATATTTCTGTCGCTGTCTCCCACTAGAAACACTATTGCAAGAGAAAATGCTGCAAAATGTTAAAATTAGACATTAATAAATTTTTTCTTAAATATATTTTTAATATCTTAAATTTGTTTTTAATCTTTTAAAAGTGTTTTTTTACTCTTATAATTTTTTTTAAAAACTTTGTTTTAATCTCTCAAGACATCAATAATATATTTAAAAATGATAGATTCAGACAATTATGTAATATCACTTAACAAAAATATTAATAAATATATTTTATGAGATAATATTTAACAGATTTTTTAATAAAATTTAGTATAAAGACTAAACTAAGTTTTTTAAAAATTATAAAATTAAAAATTTATTTTAAATTTAAATGATTAAAAATAAATTTATCTTATATTTAAGAAATTAAAAATATATTTAAATCATAATTAGGAAAACATTCAAACATATCACCATAAATACTTTTAGAATGATTCTTCAATCTGTGTTAAAGTTTCATCTTGAAAATATAAATTTACAATCAATGCAAATCTTGATATACATTTATATACACTAAATAAAATTTCAATTTTAACAAAGAACAATAATAACACTTTCATTATTTTTTATGTTCAAGTTTTGTTAACAAATATTTATAAAAAAATTGATAGATTAAAATTAATAACTTGTTAATATTATTAAATTCCCTAGTTGAGCTACCCCTACTCGTGAGAGAAAGTGAAAGTGAAGTGCACACACTGCAGATGCAGTTGCAGGGAATGAGTTAAACCGTATTTAATTTTGACAACCTCCAACTCCAACAACTTACCCAATATTCTTTACTTTCTTCCTCCGCCTTCTTCACTCCCAATTCCCAAACCCTAGAAACAGCAAAATCCCCCTTTTGATGCAAATGGGATCAACCCACCAACTCTAGAGTCGCACCCTGCAACATTTAGCTCATGCCCACTTCAATTATGGCACCATTTTCCATTTCCCCCCACTTCACAGCCCTCACCTTCCTCATCTTGCTCCTCAAAACCCAAGCTTTTGATCCCCTTTCTTCCTTTTCCTTCACAGATTTTGAGAAAGATCCAAATTTTAAGTCAAGTGTGGGGCTTTATGGAAATGCAAAGGTTGTCAATGACGGCTCTCAAGTCCTTCTTTCTGGGAATGGTGGGAGAGTCATGTACAAGAAACCCATCAAGCTTGTTCATGGTGTAGCAAGGGAATTGGTCTCATTGTCAACCTACTTTGGGTTTTCAATCAACTTGGATAGTGGGAAGAATGGCTTGGCTTTTGCTATGGTTCCAAGTGGTGTTCAAGGTGAGGTTTTTGGTAATAGTTCATATGGATTTTCTTTTGGAGTGAAGGAAAGTGAGTATAAGGTTATAAGTGTTCAGTTTAGTGCTTCAAGGGATGGTAGAAATGGGGGTTATACTAGTTGTAATGTGGCCATTAATGTTGGTAGTTCTGTTCCTGTTAAAACAATCAATGCTTCATCTGTCATTATGGGTCTAAAAAGTGAGGGGAAATTGCATGCTTGGATTGATTATGAAGCGAGTTCAAAGCGGTTAGAAGTTAGGTTGAATCAATATGGTCAATCAAGGCCATCTGATCCATTGCTTTGGCATTCAATCGACTTGTCAAATGTGTGGGGGACTGAAGAGATGTATGCAGGCTTTAGCACGCTGAAAGGGAGTACTTCTCAAGCATGCTTTCTCTATTCATGGAGCTTTATTGTGAGGCATTTTCCACATTGGATGCATTCGGAGCCTCTGGATCCGAAGGTGTTTGCTAAGAACACTGAAACTCCAGCAGTGAAATCCAGGAGTGATTGCCTTTTGAGGGTTCTTGCTGCCATGATATTTGGTGCTGGATGTGGAGCATTGACTGCATTCATTGTTCTCTATTTGTGGACCATCTTCGGTAATACACGACCGGTGGTGCCGGAGGAGTATGCTATGCAGCCTGTAGATTTTGAGTACAAGAAAGTGAACATTGTTGTAGATAAAACCATCAAAGATGCCAAGGAGTAGATCTACAGGAGGGATCTAGTTGGATGCTTGCATTGTAAATCAGTGTTTCTTGTATTCAGGTTTTGCTTTGTTGTAGTTTGATAAAGAACTATTTAATTTACTTATGTTATTGTCTATTTTTGAACAAATTGAGATCCAGATCTAACTCTGTATTAAGGATTACATGGCTTACTTTTTCTTTTGGAATCATCACTAAATGTCCAAATCTATGTTACTAATTTATTATATGTTGTTGACAGAGGTTCTATTGTATGATGATGGCAAATAACCATAATCACTAACCAGTCTGTATATTGAATATTGATTAGCTAGTAACAGTGTGATATCTGCTTGATACTCCTGTCACTGTCTACTTTAACAAGCTCAAATATAAGAAAGTAAAATATTATGTGTAAAGAATGAGGATTGTAGTGTATTTATACCTCATGCCATAATAGTCTTATAGTTGGTTTTCTTAGTATAGATTTGTAGTTGTTTTTATTTAATAATATTCTTTTTTAAAGTTGCAATTATTCTGTAACTCCTCTTTATTTAACAATATTATTTCCCATTTACTAACATAAGATTAAACTTACAAAAATAAAGAAATAAAACTGTCTGAGGAGCACAGCTTCCATGAAAAGGAGCAGCCATGGAAGGAAATTGCAGCATATTCAGCTTTGGATCATTTCTTCATTTCATTTCAGGTTTCTCAAATGACAGCAACATTTCTCCCCTTTTTTTTATTGATCTTGTCCTACATTCCTTCTGTAAAGCTAATTTTCAGATGTAACAGAAACTTGTAGCAGTCTCACTGATGGGAACTTTGAGTGCACTCAGCTACCTTTCTTTGACATTCAAGCACTTAATGCTCCATAGGTTAGTTGGTTTATACTTTTTAGGCATCTTTCAATCATATTCCCTGGCTCTCTGCATTCAGCTGAAAACGTTTCTGCAATAAAGGGATCAAGCACCTGATATGTGCTACTGCAGCAGATACTTGTATTGTTGACAGAAATTTCATCTAGTTTTCTTATGGAATATCAACACCATTTTGTTACTTTAAAGTAGTTTAGTATATTCTTAAGGGCTTGACTAAGCCTGTGCACGCCATTTGCTTTGTATGCTTGCTTACTAAAGAATAATTGAATTTGCTTGTGATGACACTCTGATTTAGGTATATTCTTGTAACTTTATATAATATTTTGGTGAGTAAAAGTTGGTTTGGATACAATATCAACTTATTATTATTTTTATTGTTTGCTATTAAAGTAAATATTTCTTTGCAATAATATTTACTAGGAATATTTCTGGTTGGCATGATTTGATCTCATTAGTTAATTGCAGACAATAGTAACCTAACTTTGTCCTGGCCCTTATTTTCTGGTAAATTATTGGGAATGGAATTAGGTTTTGAAATGGCTGATTGATTTGTCTATAACCTGAAACTTTCAAAGCATGAGGTAAAACTTAAGCGTTGTTTGAGTTTGCTTTAAATACTGAAGTTCGTTTCTGGTTCCTCTGTCAAGCATTTGTAGCTATGACATTGTCTTTCTAAATGAGTATGTTTGCTTATGTTTTCTCAAATAATGTGACCCGACATTGCGTGCCTAGTTTTGTGGGATGATATTTATCGTACTTTATTTTTTCTTAATCTTGTTATGCTTCACGGAATTATTTTCGTTCATACTCCAATACTTTTTGTCCTCTGCAGGTAGTTGATGATAATTATTTTACATTTAAATAGTCAGACATCTCTTGCCAGCATTGCTTTCTCTGTCTGGAATGCATTAATATATCTTATTTATTTGGTATTCATGGCCCCTGTGACTTCAGCTTTTATAGTATTTTTTTTCTATAAAAAAAAGTGCAGAGCCATGTATATGATAAACTTAAGGTGTCTAGATATTTAACATATGTATATCAAAGACTTGAATTTAAGATCATTGATTAAGCTTAATCAATAATTTCTTACTAGTTAATTCACCTCTTCATTCATTTAATCTCTACTGGCATATAACCTACTATGTAGTACCTACCACTAGGGTGCGAGTGTAAACAACTTCTATCATTTAGCAAACTAGAATAATGCTATACCTCCTGTATTATTTTAATGGTTTGTAAAATTAAACGAAATAGTGAATGCATTTAATAACTTAATGTAAAATGTATTCAATTATCCATTTAGTAAGTAGGATGATTCAAAATTATTCTTTTACTTTATTCCCTCCTTGTTGCTATACCGTGTTTTCCAAGTTATTATAATTTCAAGCATTAGCGGCGTTATTGTTATTTTGCCGAGGAAAAACCTTGCTTATTGACCGAAGGGCAAAAGCATACGGCGATATTTCTTGGTACTGGTGGAATCTGAACTATCTTGGTTCTGTTTACTTAGCATAAAGAGTTCATTTATCCATAAGCTTATTATACATTTGCCATTTGTTGCCCACTGGACATTTTTCATTTATGGCTTGGGGAGGTGATTGGAGCCATAATGTAGAAAGAAGGTAGTGCGTAAAAAGGTGACCTATTGAACAAGATTCAACCAAGTGAACTTTGTGGTAGGTAAGAATACACAATAACTAGAGACGATTGTTTTTTAGTGAAACTAAAAAATTTGAATCCTAATTCTAGATATAAAATAAATTATGTTAACCAGGAGGATCAAGACACTTCGTGTCTCTAATAGTTATACACAAATAAATATTAGAAGTTACGAATAGTTAATTGAAGAGAATGTAAGAATTATTATTTTTTAATTCAAGGAATATAATGATTCATTAAAAAAGTAAAAATTAAAAGAGTGGTTACCAAAATATATCCACTTTATAATAGATATAGATAAAAAATATTTATCTTAGATATCATTGGAAATTAGTCATTATGTCTCAATGATGAATATTTCATACTAAGATTATCATATAAAAAAACTAAAAAATCCTTACAAGTGAATTGTTTGTGATTGTACCTATGCTCTTGGGGTCACAAGCAGCACCCATACCTTGATTCAAGGCTCCCCTAAAATACAAATATACACAAAATTTAGCTATAAAAGTTGTCAAATCAATACATGCAAGTTTTTTTTTGTATTATTTGACTTTTAGTCTATAGTTGGATCGATGGACAGGGATGGAATTAAAATGAAATGAAATAGAATCAAATAAAACTTTCATTTCATTATTTGGATATATTATAATTGAATGGAATAAAATTCACATTCAATTGGTTGAATAATAAATAGAATGAAATAAATTATTATTCTTTAAATCTAATATTAGTCTTACCTATAGGCTATAGCAATTACCATTGATTTTTCTCAACCAGTCCGTAAGATTAGACAAGTAGTATGATTCGTCAATTATGTTCAAATAAATAATTGTTTACGATTATTGTTCTGATACGGATGACCTCTTTTAAACTTTAGTAGCAACTTTTCAATCTATAACATTTAAAGAGTGTAACCCAAATATCATATAGCCCTTGAATCAGGTTATATACATAATACATGTATTTTGTGTCTTAGAATTCCAAGATTTTGGGAGATAACCCCCTAAAATCACATAGTAATCTTTTATTTTGGTAAACAATCGACGCATATCTATGAGAGTAGCTCAAGAGTCTCCTTTATGCCTACTAGATCGGGTTAATTGCATCTTCCATTCTCTTCCTCCTCGGGTCCTCTTCCCCATTCTGTTTTTTCATTCCGAACTTCATTCTTTTGTTTTGCTTGCAACACATTGGTTTTGCATCCAACCTTGTTTGCCTTGTCCAGATAAAATGGTCAACAACAATTATCATGCTTCCAAGGTTTTGGAAAAAGTTCAAAGTCTTCCATTCTGCATTAAATCTGCCCAAAAACTCTTCCACGGGATGGTCGCGTTTAATTATTGTCCACAACCAATTTGGCCATTGGGAATACATTGGGTATGGATTACATAAAAAATCACTGATTTAATAATTTTATTAAAAAAAACTTGTTCTATTACATTTCTCCTGATTCTTAAGAAGATAAAAATTGAGAGATTTTTTTTTTCAATCTGAGACATTTGTTTTGAATGATGCATGTTTGTTATAATATTTCTTAGTTTTAGGAATTCAGATATAATTCAAAGAACAGAGATGAAATAGGGAATCTTATAAGAGAAAATGTTCCGAAGAGTTTATTGCGTGTTTGAGAGTTTACAAGATAGGAGATCTAGATACAACAAAAAATGGTCTCTCTAATTGTTTACCGGCTCTTTATATCTAACTCTCAAAACTGAATCTAACAATTTTCCTTAAAAATGGGACACACGTAACTAACTCATATCCAACAGCTAGCAATATTATTCCTCAGCTTTATTTCATATCAATGCCCCCATCTTGTCAACATCCTTGTCCTCAAGGATGGAATAAAGGGTACTTCTTCTTCAAGTCATAGTAAAATTTCCAAGTGGCATTCTCTAGAAGTTGGTGCTTCCATTTAACAAGAACTTTCGTCACTGCTGCTCCTTTCCTTTTAACTGTCATCCTATCTAGAATTTCTTCAGGCTCCTTCTCTGCAAAGGCATGTTCAGCTTGATATGGCAGATTGGTAGAAGTTACTGCATCTCCAATGTGTTTCTTGAGTTGTAAAATGTGGAATACATTATGAACTTTGGAATGCACAGGAAGATCCAACTTGTAAGCCACTGCCCCAATGCAATCAATGATTTTATAAGGACTAAAATACTTCGGACTTAGCTTAGCATGTCTCTTGTAGGCTACGAAAATTTATCTATAGGGATGCAATTTCACATATACTAAATCACCAATCTGATACTTCTTATTAGTTCTATGTTTGTCAGCTAATTGTTTCATTCTTTCTTGGGCTCTTCTCAAATGAAATTTGATTAATTTCAACATTTCTCCCCTTTTCCTTAAGCTTCTATCAACTAACTCCACCTTGGACTCTCCAGAAAGGTAAGGAAGGTAAATAGGAAGTGGTTGGCCATACATGATTTCATAAGGAGTAGCCTTGATAGCTGTGTGATAGGTAGTGTTGTACCACCATTCTGCCATAGGAAGCCACTTAGACAAATTTTGAGGGGAATCTGCACACATGCATCTAAGATAGGTTTCTAAACATCTATTCACCACCTCAAATTGCCCATCAATCTGAGGATGATAGCTTGTTGAAAGCTAAATTTGGACTACTTGGAAAGCCATAAAATCCTACCAAAATTGACTTACAAACACAGGATCTCTATCACTAGTAATAGAATCAGGAAACCCATGTAGTTTGAACACATTAT